CTCTCCTGCCACCCACTCCGCCCCCGACCCCCCTGCCCCACGCCAGCTGCTGACCGCTCACCAAAGTCCTTTCTGCACGCTCCGACTGCGCACAGACTAAAACTGCGCTCAAGCCCACCCCCATTAGCAATCACTCCTCAGACACAGGTCTACAAAGATGTCTGGAAGCTGAGGTCTTCGGGGCCCAGGAGAGCGTCCTTGTTCTCCCTGCTCCCCTCCTGCTGCACCTGGTACCCCCGCTCGGCACACTGCACTGCGTCATGGACGCTGTGGAAAGCCAGCTGACCCCCGCCGCAGGTGCTGCCCGCCCAGCCTCCCTCACGGAGCCGGCGGCGGATGGAGGGGTTGCAGTTGGCCAGAAGCACCCGGACACCGACCTCCTCGTAGTCGCGACGTGTCTCCTTCAGCACAGAGAGACCCACACTGTCTACGAACTGCATTGCCCCACAGTCAAGAATTAAGGTGTGCATGTCTATGGGCTGAGGACGGGTGTCTGCCGGAGGCTGCTCAGCCCTTCTCCTGGCAGGCTTCAGGCAGCCAAGCCCGGTGCCAGAAAAGCTCTTGCTGTCACCCGTGTCCGCATTTGCCCGGGCCTCCACCCTTGGATGCTTCGCAGCCAGCAGCGCAGGATTCACCCCGGTTTTCTGGTAGAGAACAGTCTTGAAATAATCCTTGTTGGCGTAGTAGAGGGACGACTCAAAGCGGAAGATTTTGATGTTGGCAATACTGCTGAGCTGCTTGTAAGCGGACTGGTCCTCATAAATTTCCGTGTTGCTGACCTTGCCGAGAAGCATGGCCCGGGGTCTCTGCGTGCGGAAGATGATGCAGAGCAGAGCGAAGCAGACACCCACGAGGAGCCCGATCTCTGTGGTGACCAGCGTGGAGGACAGCATGGTCGTCCACCACACCACCGTGTCCAGCTTGCTGAGCTGCCACATGCGGGGGGTGTCACGGAACTTCCTCAGGCCCCCCCGCAGGTTGACAATGGTGACCACCCCCAGGATGGAGGTCTGCAGCGAGTAGAAGAGCGGGGCGATCCACAGCAGCACCAGCAACAGCACCAGGGAGGTGACCAGGCCGGAGAGCTGGGTCTGGGTCCCTGTGGACTCCTTCAGCAGAGTCTTGGTCAGGGCCGCGGAGCTGGCGAAGCAGTAGAAGAAAGAAGGGATCAGGTTGCACATACCAATGGCAATCATCTCTTGGTTGGCACGGACAGTGTAGCCATGCTTTTTGCCAAAGATTTCTGCCAGGGAGACGGTCATGGCAAAGCCGATAACGGCAATGGGCAGAGCGTCAACGGCCAGGCTGGAAAACAGGTTTGTATCTGGCAGAGTGGGTTTCCTGAAACCGGTGGGGATGTCCCCGCAAACAGCAGACTTGTATCGCTCTTCAAAGCTGAAGTAGTAAGATATTACTGTGGCTATAATGACCACCAGCAGCTCTACGGGGAACGGGGCCTTCATCTTCTCTTTGTAACGGTCATTGATCTCTTTGACAGGCACTATGACGGCCAGAGCAACCAGGCTGGTGACCAGGTCACAGATGTTGGTGTTCTGGATGTGTCTGAAAAGGTCAACCCACGTCAGGATGAAGGACCCCACCCCTTCGTGACGAGGGATATTCAGCCCCAGGAGATACTTCATCTGGGAGGTGATAATGGTGAGGCTGGAGCCGGTCACAAAGCCACTGAGGAGAGGTTCTGACAGGTAGACGGCCACAAAGCCCAGCTGCAAAACCCCCAGCAGGATCTGAAAAGCAAGCCAGCCACACCTTCAGCATCCACCAGAAGGGCTGGAGGAGGCAGCTGGCAACTCCTGTCAGTCCGCCTCCACTTCAGCAGCTCTGGCTGTTCTGCCCGCTCAGCACTCGGCGCGAGGCAGAGGACTTTGTCTTCAGTAGTTAATCCAGGATACGAAGAGCTAAAGAGACCCACCTGCGAGACTCGTCTGTGGCTAGAGATGCCATGCAAAGAAACCTATCAGGTCCCTGTTGCCGTCTCCTTACAAGCAGTGAGGGCACAGAGCTAACACTGAAATTCATGGAGCAGCCCCATCAAAGCAGCTGCGAGGACCACCCGTGGCATCAAACCAGTGCGATGCACTGAGTTTCAGTCGTCCTGGAGAAAGAGCCTGAAGACATTCAGTGACAGCTAGGCCCAGCAGTGGGGACGCGGCCAGGGAGCACGGCTTTCGAAGGAGCCCCTGCTGACGGCAGGGTCCTCGCGGAGGTCCCTGCCAATGCCAAACCTGCTCTAGCCTGCACCGGGAGCCAGCCCAGCTCCAGGACTGGGGTGGTGGGAAGGTGGTTCACAGTTCCTTCTCCTCCTGTGCTGTGTCTGATCCTAAGGATGTTTCAGTCACACCCAAGGACCTGGCCTATCACATGGGGGAGAAACAAAAACCCACATTCAGCCGTGAGTGGGGGTTTCTAAATCACTGCATTTGATTCAAGGGCGTCAGGGTCTAGTCACATCAGGAAAGGTTTCTCATGATTTGTAAGTCTGAGCTCAGACTGGGGCTTAGAGGTCTTTAGCTGAGAAGTTCCTAGCAGGGAAAGGACAGAGAGGAAACAGCACAACGGTGAACGTTCATACCTGGTAAAGACCGACCAGAAAGCTTAAGGAAAGGGCCACGGTGATGGCGTAGCAGCTCCTGTCACAGGCACCCGTCCCGTTACTGGAGGAGGTGGAGTTGCCCACCAGCACAGAGCCAGTGCTGCCATCGCCATACCCTGCTAGCTGGAGGTGCCGGTTCACAGACTGCCCGATCATCAGGCAGAGGATGCCAAAGGAGCCCACGAAGTTATGGCGCGAAGTGGCCATAGCAACATAGATGATACTGCAAAAGAAGTTGGTGTAGATTCCGTAGATGGGATCCTGGTTGGCCAACAGGGAGTAGGAGATGGACTGAGGGATGGCAACTATCCCCACCAGGAGCCCCGATATGACATCCCCAAGCAACTGCGTCTTGACATTGTAATGGGGAAGCCAGTCCAGCACTGGGAACAGCCGACAGAAGAAGGTGACGACGGTCTGACGAGTGCATGTGCAGACCTCTCTGGCTTTCTTTAGGATGAGTTCCTTGGCATGGAAGTCTGCGGGCTCGTACTCCTCCAGCTGAACGTGTATGAAATTGGCAGGAGTCTCTTCTGGCGCTGGGCAGCCCAGCGCGTCCTGGCTCTGTCTGGACTTCTGGCTTGACGCGTCCTCCATTGCACCAGGAGAGCTAAGGCGGGAGAGCAGGCAGCCGTGAGCTGTTGCAGCCATGTACATAACGCGCTCCGCTTAGCTCCAGGGCTCACGCAGATTGCGGGGATCAATAAATAAAGGAAAATAAGCTCAGACAAATCAAACAGAAAAGCCCCTTCCCGTGGTGCCAGCTGATTTGTTTGTCCTCAGTTATGGACCCGCTCAACCACAACCCCGAGACCACGGTTTATATTGCATTCCCAGTGGCACAGACACTTTTTCAGCCTGGCTAAGTAACATAGTCACTTTCCAGAGCTCCTCCAAGCTTTTCAGTCAAAGTGCAGCTGCAACACAACATCACCTTTTTGTCAAAACTGAACAATACACACTGAGAAAAATTCTCTGGAGGGGAGACCTAGAGCGGCTGCAGTTGAGAAAGTGAACTGGGATGATGAGAAATCCCACTGCCGTGCCCCGCACCAGTCCCAGCGCAAGTCCCTTACCTCTGGCTGCAGGCAGACACACCGGTGTTTTCTCGCCGCCTTCTCTCCGGCAGACAGACGCGTGCCCTCACCTCGCAGCACACGCTGGACAGACAAAGCGCGAGGCCAACAACCGCAAAGCGATTTCCCTTCCCTTCCTTCTGGACCACATGCCTCTTCCCTCGAGAAGAGATCTGAGCTACTCGGCCAAGCCACTGGTCCTTTTATCTCTCCCCAACCCATGAAGAGCCAAACAGAGCTGTATTTCGAAAACAAACAGTGTTCTGGGAGAGTATTTTTGATTAAAACCTGCTCTGCCCATTAAGAATGACTGAAGGGTTTAGAGGAGTGCTGCTGCCAGATAACAGTATTGCGGGTATCTGGAGATGTGTTTGCTAAACATCGTTTGCTAAAGGACGCAAAACAAAGCAATCTCTGTGCGTGCTACTGCTCTGCCTCTCCCTCCGCCGAGAGGGCATCACTGCCCGAGTCCTGCCAGGCTGCTCTGCTCAGGTTGTCACCCGCACGGACACCAAAGGTCTGACGACCACAGGCTGTTTCCAGCCAGACGGGAGAACTCAATATGCATCAAATCTGCACAATCCACGTTCTGCACGTGCCCTGTAGAGACCAGCACAACTTTTTTTTTGCACAAATAACAAGGGATTTTGCTTTGCAGAAGTAAGCACAATTCGGTAAAGTGCAGGGTTGCATTTTTTTTTGCAGGTAAAGATGAACAATTGCGTTAGTGACCAGGAAAAAAGGTAATGTCTCATCACGCTGAACTGAAACAGCAGCCTCGTAAGTACCAGCTGCAGCTGTTCTGCCCCTGTGGTCCCTGCCCACCACCCACATCAGACCTCTCCGCACACTCCCCCTCACCTCCTTCTCCACTCTTTCTTTTCCATCGACCTCGTCTCTCAGATGCTGCTGGACATGCTGCTTCCCTGTGGAGCAGGACAAACCCCTGGCAGCCTGGCCCCTGCCTCTGCTCCCGGTGCTGACTGCGTGCTGGGCTTGGGGAGGGGGCTGAGAGCCCGCGGCGTTTGGAGAGATGGTGCGGGGCATGGGGAGATGACATTTTCACAAGGCTTTGAATCAGATGCTGGGGAGACACCCTAAGGGAAGAGAAGGCGAAGATCAGCATCCCCAGCTACGTTTATCTCATCAGTGGAAGTCTGTATCTCAGTAATTAGGAGTAAGTAAATAAGAAACATCAGTGTTCTCTGGCAGCAGGAAAAAATGAGAGCGGATGGTAGGAGAGACAGATGCTCAACGTATTTATCTATTTATATGAACTCTTTATTCGCTGCCATTCCTCCACAGGTCATGTATTTTCAGGTGCATCTGATGACAGCTCCCCTTTCCCTTCCCCTTCTTTCAGTAATGGACCGCACCTTTCCTCAGCCTTGTCATTCCTCCTGTCCTTAAAAGATGATCCCTTCATATGCTTTATAATCTTTCCTAGTTATAGCTCATTTTGTGTCTTGGCCTGTCTGATGTTGTCTCTACTCCCTCATTTTCCTTTTCCATCTTCTTCCTTAGCAAATGACCCAAATTTCCATTTTCTGTACGACTCCTCCATCTTGAAATTCAGCCACTGAAGAACCGGTGAGCCTGTCACTGACGAGCTGGACAGGCTGGTCTTCTAAGTCAGCTTGTTTGCTGGGATGAAACACATCTGAGCACAATTCGTCTTTGGGTTTTGATCTTGTTTGGGAAGCATGTTTCCAGTTCTGGACCCCTGATCTCCCCACCATGAAAACGGGACAAGGCTCTTCTTCCATTTGTGGCAGTTACCTAGGCTACCTTTAACCCCCGCCTTCACTGCCTGCTGCTGCTTCTCCTTACAACTTCCACCTTCATATTCTGGAATTCTTTTTTTTGTTATGATTTCCTTTACCACCAAGGTAAACCTTGATATAGCCATGGTCTATCCCCTCTCCCCCACAGGTTCTGGTTCCATTCTTTCTCTCTCTGTGCCTCCTTTGCCATCCTTCCCTACAAATTTCCACACCCCTCCCACCCCCCCACCTTCTTGTGTGAGAATTCCCAGTCGCTTTCGTGTACTCAATTTTAAAATACTCCCTGCTTTCCCTGCAATTCTGTTCTCCAGCTCCCTGTCCCAGCTGGCTTCCCCACGCGTTCGGTTCTCTGCGCTGACCTCTTTGAAACGCCGAGCTTCTGCGTGGTCCTCTCTGTGCCGGGAACTCAGGCGGTGGGCACTGCGGAGAGGCCGTTCTCTGCTCTCCATCCCAGCAGAGAGGATGTAGGAACACACCCGGTTACGCCGAACACCCTGCACGTCGCTGAAATCCCTTCTACTGCACGAGGTGAGGCACAGGCGGAAGCTGCAAATATTTCACATTTGCTCTAGAAAAGGTATAGCAGACAGGTTAAAACAAAGAAGCCTGGAACAGAACTTCATGTGACCTTGACCTGGCTCAGGCTGCACTGCCTTCCAAACGCAAGGTCACTACAGCTACCTGCTCAAACTGTTTTCAAACGCATCTTCAAGGGTTGTTCTTTATTGTCACTATAAATTCAACTGTTCAGCTCCATCCTGGGCAAGGCTGGGTGGGACAGAGGGTATTAGCCTGAACAATGCAAGGGCAGACAGGACTTCGCCTGCCAGTAACATGGCACCCTCTTGTTTTTAAGACAAGCAGAGAGCACGAAACCCAAATTTTTCATTTATGGCATGGTATGTGAGCAATGTAACATCCACCTACGCAATGGCCATCGCAGCCAGCTAGAAACAGAGCCGTGGAAACCCAGGCTCCAGGTACAAGGAAAACACAGTAGTGGGTTATTTCGGTTTTCTATCCTAAGGTAGAAAAAAATCATGAAATTGCCTGGGTCTGTGATTGTTACCCAGGCGTACTGTAAGTGCAGCGGATTCAAATCTCTGCTTCTGTGTCAATGTGTTGCTTCTGTTCAACAGGACGAGCTGGCATCTCCAGTTTTCTTTGAAACAGAGGTAACGGCACTGCACAAGGATTTCTGATTTGCTTTAAGGCTTCTAAACACAGTTATGACTATTTGGCTTCCGGAAGCCTCTCAAGCAGCATCCCACATGTCTTGGCTCCATAAATGGGCCAGCCTGGCTTAGTACGGGGCTGCATCCCACTGCTCTGCAGTTACTTAAATCACATGCAACTTCATTTGAAAAAAAAAAAAAAAAGGCAAAAACCGTGAGCCAGGTAACAGTGCCAGGACCTAAGATGCTTTTCCTTCCCTTCTGATTTGGGACCTGACAGTCTTTTTGGATGGCTGCTGGTTCAGTTCAACTTGGAAAGGAATTTTCAGTATGTAGACACCTGCAAAACATCATCTTTTTTTAAGGGAGAAACAAGGAAAAGGAGACAAGCCCAGATTTGGTCCCACTGCTGAGATGCAACAAAAGCACCCAAGGACAAAAAAGCTGAACAGAACCTCTCTGATGGTTTCTCGGAAAGCAACTGTTTGCATTTCTGTGGGCGATAACACCAGAGAATGTGGAAGCGGTACATTAGGTCATTCCACAAAATAAACCATTTTTTGCAGCCCACTGCTACTTTGCAGGGCAGTTTGTGCTGACGTGCGGGGGTCACAGCAGAGCGTGCATGGTGAAGATAAAGTTCTCTCCAGACAAACATGGTGAGGCCAAAGGTGTTGCTCGCCCTGCACTGCACATGGTGACGCGGTCGCACTGCTCTGAAGTCTGAGAGGGACCACAGAACCCACAAACGGACAATGACAAGGAGCATCGCTGTAAGCCACTGCTCGCTCCCAGCTGTTAACCGCGGAGACAGACGTGCGAGGAATATTTTTTAGCATATTTTGAAAGACGTGAGCTGGAGCGTGTGTCCTTGGAAAGAGACCCAGCGCAGAGGTAGCAGATCTAAGAGGACGTGGACGAGCACCTTCGGCCGCAGAGGTCACACACCGCACATCAACTGTCCAGCCATCGAGGGCACCGCCAGCCGGGACCACCCTGCGAACGCCTCCTTCCCCCGGCACTGACGCCCGCTCCCAGAAGAAGGGACAAAAGAGCGCTCCCAAGCACGTCAGCTACAGGGTTTGGGGAGCATTCCCGATTCGGATAAAGAGGCTGAAAACCATTCCTTGCCAACTTTTGCAGCGCTTTGCTGCTGTTTTCATGTTTTTCGCTGCATGACAAATGTCTGGTGCTTATGACCCTGTTCCATATTATGAAGCTAAAAACTGAAAATGCTGTAACAGCTCTATAAACAGATTAAATTGATTACAGATGAATACAGTGGAATAAAAATGTGGAGACACATTTCTGTTTCGTACTGAACTGGCATTCAGCCCAGGCTACTCAGCATCGTTTCGGGCTCACCCTGCGTGCGCTGCCCACGAGCCCTTCGCGGCGCTGAGGCCGTGCTGGCGAGACACTGGTCCCCGCTGTGTCACCCTCCTTGCGGGGCACACAGCTTGCCCCCCACTCACAGCACAGCAGGCACTGTCGGGCAGCGCTCTGCGCCCGGCTCCCGACCCTCCCGGCAGCCGCCCCACACCAGCTCACCGTGCACCGCGGCGGCAGAGAGCAATCCTCCAGCGCCCACGCCGCGGTGCCGAGGGACTGAAAGATGCTCC